AAACACACACACACATCCACACAGGAATGAACAACCTCAGATTTGTCTCATTGTACAGCAAGACTCAAGTTTTCATGAGGAAACCACTTCCATTTCTTATGTAACTTGGAGAAGAAGGATGAAGAAAGGGAAGGTATAGAAATCAATCACCTGAAAGGCAAATATTTAAGTTTCAGTCTGTGATTTGGCTCAAACTGGTGTAAATTGTAGCTCACCCAGCTGCAATGGAGACGTTCCAGTTTAAACATTCAGGTCTTGGGGTCCAAACTTCAATTCCTTTCAAATCTTTGGGCAATGGGGTGGACTTGTAGTGATCCCTTACAGAGGAATGGGCTGTGGAAGGGACTTCCTTCTGGATTGCTGCTCTCAGAAGAGCAGAACAGTCCCTTCTGAGCTCTCTTCCTTCACTTTCTCACCTCAGAACAACGTTACATTTCCCCTCAAAAGGGTCTTCAGCACCTCCTGAGTGCCCCTCACTGACAGCACTGCAAGGACAAACGCTCCAAGGAGTTCAAACCAAGAGGTGAGAGGAGGGCTCAGAAACGGGAAAAAATGTTGTGTGCCATAGAATAATTTACCTTTCCACCTAAAGCTGTGTAAGAAAGGTGTTCTTGCAACCTTCAGAGGGTGAAATCTCTGATGGGCCACTATCAGACACGCAATAAAAATGTTTAGTTTATACGAAATAACCCCTCAAATGACAGTGAGAACAATAAAACAACTTTATTTTTAGGAAGTTTGCCATAAGCCTCAAAGCAATAGAAAAACAAACAGGGTCTTATCCCCTACAATTATCGCACAGTAAAGTTATTTTCAGGCAAATTTTGGGCAGGAAATTTTATTTGCATATAAATGTACATCTTATTCAGCACTAAACTGGCAATATCAAAGCTAATTGAGGGTAAGTACTAATTGTAAGTCTGATTTGCATAGTTTAAAAGTGGAATAGGGTAAATATATGTTGAGATGCAAAATACAATATGAATTTTAATTCAGTACCAGTATCCCTTGCATTGGTGTGTGGATATAATCAGTTATGGTATCTCTGACCCTCCTGTTTTGAGTTATTACAACATTTTGTGTAAAATTAGTTTTAATGCATTGAAGCTCCCATAAAATAGTTTGATTTCTACACATGACTTTTTTTGGATGATATAAAATATTTCATGGCTTAGATTAGTTATATTTCTCACATATTTATCATGTTCAATGTTTTATTGACCTAAAAATGCTGCTTGATTTTACTTTGCTGGTCATTTCACCATGAACTGTCATGCACAAACCTGTGGAAGTTTAATTCAGGCTTTGAATGAGGTTGTTTGGAACAGCAGGGGTTTTGTTTGTTTGTTTTCAAGAAATCCATTTCTATAATTTTCAGACTAAATATTGATCAGAAAATGAGTTTCACCTCATCATACCTCTGATTTTATTCAGTTTTTAAAAGTATTTCGATTTGATAAGAACTTCTTTTATTTCTTAAAGATTTAGTTATTGAATTTTGAAGATTTAAAAATATTCCTTTTGCAATTAAGAAAAAAAATCAAACAACCTTTCAGCCTTTATTTGAATTTAATTATCCCAGTAAGAAAATCTTTAATTTTAACATTTCCTTTTAAGGATGGAAGTCTGTTTCTGTAATTTAGAAGTATGTCTTCTGAAATAAATTAAAACCACCATCAGTGCACAGAAAGAGGCACATAATGAGGACTTAAGGCATTTTTCCTACATTATCTGAATTTTGAAGGGTTACTAATTTCCTCAATATAAAGTTTAGAATGGGAATAATATAATGTCATCTCTTCTCCAGTGCAGCCATTTAAAATTTGTTAGCAGGTTCTGTACAAATACTTAAGAGAAAATAGAAGAAAAACTTCTTATGTTGACTAGAAGGTATTTAGTGACAGCATAAAAAACAAAACAAAACCAAAACAAGAAAAAAAAAAAAACAAACACAAAAAAACCTCACAATCAACCAGCCCAACAAAAAAACCCCAAATCAAACCTCAAAAAAAATCTCAACCAAGCACTTTAAAAGCAAAGTTTAACTCCCAAAAAATAGAGGATTTGGGTTTTTGGAAGGGGTTGATCATGAAATCTTATTTAGAAAGGGAGCTGAGGTGTAAGGGGAGTCTCAATTGACCTGCTCCCTCTCCACCTCCTGGAGTCTCTTTTGCTCCCCCATTTTGTCCATTCAGTTTCCTTCTGGCCCTAAAACCTTCCTCTCTCTTTATTCATCCTGTCTACATTGTTGTAAGACTTTAAATCCCTTGAAATTGCCCCAAATATCATTTAACTTACAGATAGTAGTGAAAATCAGACAATATTAATAATTCATAATAAATAATATTTGTTCTGTCTCTGGAGAACCTTCTTTACCACACCTTATACTGGACTGTTTTCCTTAGTGTTCAATCAATTTTTTCCCCTAAATCTGTGGCTAAGAAAGAGCCCTGAGGTTTAATGTCCCATTGTCTTTCCCCTGGGACTTACCCAGTCCTACACAGGGTGGCCCATTCTGTGATACAGCAGTTTTTAACTTGTGCATAAAAAAAATTGCCTGAACTGTCACAGAACCAACCCTTTTTCTATCTCAGTTTAAAAGAAAAATAATAAAAATGCATTTCTGTTAAAGCTGAAGTTTCAGCCAGTGTATTTGGAATAAAACCGAACTCGTTATGATAGTTTGCCTTTGTGGCAGTATAAGAAGGATTAATACACTGTCTGAGCACACTGGATGATAATAAAATAGAATAATTAAAATCACTTCAACACATTGTAGATAAACCTTTCAAAATAAGTAAAAATTCGGTCTTAAGCATCAGAATAATTGGAAAGAGTGAGTACCAGTCAGTTTTCCTAAGAAAAGCTCCTTTCTAAAATGCTCATTATCAGGGTGTAACAGAAGCAAACGTTGCATTGCCAGAGATAAAATGTACAGAGGGATGAGAAACTGGAAAGGTGGAGAGTCTGCAGAAGGTCAGGAGAGGGGGGGAAAGATGATCCATCCATCATTTCTGCCACAGTGCACCTCCCTGTTTTGTGAGAGAATAGTGTGACCCAAGAACAATGAGAACAAAATTGCTCTGCTCTGCCATTTCCAGTGTCTCGGCATCACCCTGGAAGTGTTTCTGATCATGAGCACATCGTGTTTTAGAAGTGCTCATTGTCACAGCAAACACGATCCCTGTGTTTTAGTGCAGGGCACCGAACGTTTCTATTTCTGGCAAAGAGCAAATTGCTGAAAAGAGGAAAAAAAAAAAAAGGATTTTATTCAATACAAAATGAAATAATAAAATAAAAAAATGAAATATGCAGGATCATCTTTTTAAAAAGTAGGTGTCTGTTATTTACCAAATCAGAATTTGATAGTAAGTCCTTTTTGTAGTTTTTTAAAAAAGCCCCAGCAGACACAAACAGGAAAGAAGTACCTGTGCACTTCAGGTGGTGGAGCCATGAGGATGGCAGTGCACCTGGAAAATTCATGTGCCATCTCAGTCTGGAGGTGCCAGATTGTGAAGGTGGAACATACGAAAGAAAATGTGTTATGGTGCTACTATAGAAGTGGAAAAATGGCACGGATGGGTTTGTAAAACAGCAAAGAAATGAAAGCACAATTTCTTTTTAAAAAAAAAATGATACAGAATATCTAAGAATCTGAGCAGCCTCATTTTGATAGGGAAAATTTGTATACGTGGCACATAGTATATTAAAAGTCATAAATAGCATAACTGCTGATCATAATTAATATTAAAAAACACAAACAGATCTAAGAACTTGCGTTAATCTGCCTTTCTAAATTCTGGAAGTTGCTCTGTGCCTAATTAAGGGGTAGAATAATCTTGTCTTTATGGCTATGCTGGAGCTGGGTAGGTATTCAAGTCCTGGTTCTGCTTCCTTTACGATGTTACTCAGAATGCTTTTATCTCTTATTTATTTATTTATTTATTTATTTATTTGTATTTGAAAATTGGACATAACAGTTCCTTCCCTCACATGAGCAAATATTGTATCTTACGCTAATTTTCTAGTGAACATTTTGGAGAAAAGCAGTTTTATTTTTACTGTATGTGGAACTGGGGAGACAAAGTTTTTTGAATATTGGCCAATATTATAAAAGAAATAAAATTGGAAAGATGAAATAAAAAGTGTAAAAGCTCAGCAAATGGTTGAAGGAGAAGCCTGTTCAGAAAGCGGATAAAACAGATCATAGCAGGGAAGGCAAGAAAATGCCAAATTTTTTAACTTTTGAAAAAAGGAGACGTAACTTTACCTTGTCTTGATGTCCAAGGATTTTCTGATTGCTCTTTAATTTGTAAAAAAGGGATAGGGAGATACAGTGAGTGGAAACCAAAACCAGAGCCTCTCAGAGTGGAAATAGAGGGACTGTTTTAAAAAGGCCAGCAAGGCAATCATTGTAGACAGACCAGAATTTCTATCATCTGTAATCTTTTAATGAAGCCTAAACAATGTTCTGAAAGGGATTTTATAGCTCAGCAGAAGTGACAGACTTGATGCAAAAATTATGGGTCTGCATCATGAAGAAGGTCAGTCTGGACTGTCCCAATGGCTCATTCTGGCCTTGCAATCCATAAATCTCTGCATTAACGTTTGGGCGTGATGCTGATACCACAATGATGGGGGCACAGAGACATGTGAGTTGTGTTCAATCACTACAGGTCTTGCAGACGGGGAGGAAGAGAAGAACACTTTCAGAAAGCTCTCTATGAACAGCTCATTGCAGGATTTTTCACAAGTTAATTCTGTGAAGGGCATCTTATGTTCTGTAATGACAAGTTCTTGTGCATGACTGTGAATCCATCTGCTTTGTTCTGCGGGTTAGCTGACGAGGGAAAATTGGATTTGTTGCTACAGGAGGTTATGTCTTAAATGAGTGGTACAAAAATAGGTCACCAAACTGAGAACTAAGCTTGCTGTTTATTTATTTTATTTATTTATTTATTTTAGTCACCCCAGATTACTTCTTTGTGAAGCATAAACTATGTAGCTTCCCTGCTCACAGATTTGGTCACATTGACTGATAATTTTGAAGAAAAGGAAAAATGGCTGTAAGTTCTCGGTGTCCTGGATGGAGATGGGAGGGAATAGCCTTTTTCCTGGTGTCCAGGAGCTCAGCTGCCACAGAATTCATCAGGAATATGACAAGCCTGGAAGAATTTCAGTTCCAGTTTCTAACCTTCCAGGGAAATGACCTACCCAGGACGTTCTGGTAGTGCAGAAGCAGAACCAGCTCCAGGTGAGCTTTCTGATTTTCTGGTTCTCACTGTTGGTTTTGGTATTAATGGGTATTTGGGAAGACTAACTGAAAGTCTTTCCTTAAGTAGACCATTTTCTCCTGGAAGTTGAGATAGCTTTGGGTTTCCTGTGCTTCTGTGTGCCTTAGCCATGCATGATTATATATATAATTGGATAAGTAGCTTCTCTGGAAATACTGTGAATCTTAGTCTTCTTTTCCTTTTTTTTTTCCCCTTTTTTTTTTAAACTTTCCTTAAGCCATTGCTCCAATACTTTATTTTCTTAAGCTATTACTCCACTAATTTATTTTAGGAACAGAATGTTGCACACAGGGTAAAAATGATTTGTTGAATTATTTTTCTATGTCCATGAGAAAAAGGCACATTATTTAATGTGGATCCATTTGATCCAAAAGAATGCATAGGGTTTTTAATTTGTTTGTTTGTTTGTTTGTTTGGGTTTTTAAAAATTTTTTTTATTTGTTTGTTGACCTGAAAATATTTTTATAGTTCTGTTCATTCTTGGGCACAGTGACAATGGAAATAGTCAAATAGTTGCTGTTAAAAATTCAAGAATGTGATTAATCCTTATGTCTATACAAAGACTGACTTTACTGGCATTATTTGCATATTTAAGTATCTCACTAAACTGAGCAGAACAGGCTAGAGTTGATTTTGGTATTGTATTATGTTGAGATAACCATTGATTTGGGTGAAAATAGTGTACCAGTGTAATTAATCACATCCATAATGTTTTATTTTTCTAAAGAACATCCATGGCAGAATTAATGTCTCTTCATCTCGCCCCTCTGAGCAGCACAGTTTAACATACAACCAGGGGAGAAAAAATAAATGCCTTTGTCTGAGTTTTTGACTGCGTGAAGCCCTTGCACCATGAAGGTCACATGCACCTTCATTCATCCCTTATCTTCTGACATTTTTCAAGGCATACGTTGTGTTCTGTTCCTGCCTGGGGCATCAGATGTCCTTAGCACTTCTTTCAGGACAACACACAACTCTCTTCTCTGCCTTGGTTCTGTCACATGCTCTGCACTGCGGTCTGAGAGGAGGCTGAAAGCTCAGGGAAACCCATGGCCCAAAAAAGTCAGGTACTTTTTACGTGGATCTTCTCTTCTCTTGTCCTGGCCTGCGCATTCTCTTCTCTTGTTTCCCATCAGTTGGAATTATTTTAAATCTCAGCGTTTGTGGAAGGGAAACGCACAAACCACAACACAAACATGTAAGCTAGAATGCACTTCACAAAAAGGTTTGGGTGACTAATGTTCATCTGTGGAGTACAAGTGACTGTCTGGTGTCCACAGTTTAAAAAAGGACAAAAAAATAGGTCAAACAAGACGTTTGTTCCACTCTGAGTTCTTGGTAATAATAACGTTGATAGCTGAACTTCAGTTTTAAACAAAATCTGATTTAAAGCATAATATTAAAATGGATAAAGTTGTTGAAAAATATTTAAAATATTTTCAGATAAAGTTTATTTTCTTGAACATCTTTCCCATAACTTCAGTGGAGTTGAATCTGTGCTTGCTTGGGTGGGCTGACTTTGTTGTGGGTGGCAGGAAGATTGTGTGTACGTGCTGTAGCAGGTCAACAAGAACTGAAGGAGTCAAATAAATTGATACCAAAAGTCACTTCAATTACTTTAAACAATAGACCTCAAACTATGAAAATTGGAGACCCTGCTATTTTTAGGAAATATATTTTCCCTGCAACTCTTATGTGTACTGTATATTTTTTGACATACCCTCACTAACATGCACACAGACATTGTTATTGTCCTTCTATACTTCAGAATACATTACTTAAGCAGCTTATAACAGATGTAAAATCTAGGCAAGATACTGCATTATTCATTCCAGTCAGTTTGAGTTATTGATTATGGCATTTTGAGGTATTTCAGTGCTTGCTTTTTTTTCCTTCTCCCTCCTAGACTGATAATCTAGAAAATGAAAATGAACAGAGAAAAATAAGAGCATAGTCTTGATTTCATTTTCATTTCTTTGTTAAATTCAGTGGCACATTAATGAGGCTTTTGTTTTCCTTGGTAGCATCCCCATTTCCATACCCTGCACATGGTCATCCCTCAGAGCAGCCTGGCTGCACACACCATGTCAGCCTCCGTTTGATATGAAAGCACAGAATTTTCATTCATAGAGACACGGCATCTTTTTCCTTTATAAATGCCAAACTGAATGAAAAATACTCCTCAGAGAATTAGAAAATAATGAATGATTGGCATTTGGTGTACAATTTCTTATTCTAGTGAGATTTTGGCATGCCATTCACTGGGAAATTCGGAGTATTGAATGACGTCCGCATTTACCAGATGGGCTGTCAAGGCGTACTGTGTGTCAACACCTTTGCAGAATATCACTTGAAGCCTAATTCCTCTTGTTTATGGACATCTGATTTGGTTGCTTCTGAAGGAAATATTGTATATCTTTTCTTCCTACTCTCAAACTGTTCATGTTACTAAAGCTTGGCTCAGTCTCTTCACCCACAAAGGGCATCTGTGTGTGGGGACAGGACTTGGGGAAATCCATGGCAGCAAGTGTGCCTAAATCCGTGTGGTTCTCCTGTGCTTGTTCTTATGCTGGTACCTAAAGGAAATATGGATCTGTGGCAACCAGTAACTAACAGCAACTGGTCCAAAGTGCAGCTGGTGACCGGTCAGGAGTTATGTTCCTTAGCAGTCGACACTAATAGTGGGCTACTATTGTTTGAAGTGTTCAGATTTGTTCAGTTCTGTTTGTTGAGATGAAATGCTCAGCAACTTGGTGGATGACACCAAATGGGGGTAGGAATAGTTGATCTGCTTCGTAGCAGAGCAGGGCTGCCACTCAAAAAGACCTCACTAGGATGAAGAAATGGGCTGACAAAAACTTCCATGGGGTTCAGTAAGGACAAAAGCACCATTCTGTGCCTGTGTAAAAGATGTGCTACAGGAGGTGGGTTGTCTAACAGGTGAACAGGTCTGCATGGATACTTTGGTAGCACAATCTCAACTGTGTGGCAGAGAGATGGGTACTGATTTTTAGTACTTTGTGAGCATTGGTGGCCACTGCGAGGTCACATTAACTATAGGTTGGTGTTTGAAACACATAAATGATCATTAATGTTTCATCACACCAGTAATTTCCAGCACACTGCAGTTCCAGAAAGAACCAAAAAATCAAGAGCAACTGTGTTATTCCAATGTCTTCTGTGTTCATTGCCACAGGATGGATCACAAATGAATTAGTTTCACCCCTCTATTGTTACCCTTTCTGTAAGTTTTCTCTGCTGTCTAAGCAGTATCTTATTTGTTGTGATGTAATCCCTCGGCTTGTTGCCCTGTTCACCACAGCTTGGAGAGCAGATTGAATTCTCCATTTGATGTTTGTTCTTGTCAGCTGTGTTTCTCAGTCTCTGATAATTTTTTTTTTTTCCCCCTTCTCACTTCTGGGTTCTCTCAAATTGATTCGTGTCTCTCCAAGTGTGTTGCCCACAAGTGGACTTAAATTAACTGAGGACTTGTGAGTGCTGAGCTGAGCTCAGAGATTTCTCTGTATCCTGCAGGTCATAGTTTTGCTTATAATCCCAGTATGGTGTTTCCCTTTGTGCAACACCTAAGTGGTGATTCGTGTCCATCTTGCAATCCAGTGTAACTCCCAAATCCCTTCATATAAAACTGCTGTTCAGCCACTTCATTATGTGGTGATTTATCCAGATTTCTGAATAACAGAATAGCAGAGTGGTAACCACAGCTGCCTGGAATAGGTTTCATTCTTGGCCACAGACCATCTATATAAATATCTTGAGAAGGTCATACCAGCTGCTTGTTAGAGCAAATAGCCAAGAACTAGGAAAATTCTGAGATCAAATCCTAATTAAACTACTGACTTGCTGCATGACCTTGGGTGGCTGCACTCTTTGTGTAGCCATGAGCCCCAGACCAAAACCTCTCTGCTGAACTTCTCTCTGAGGAAAGATTAAAAAGCTGTACAAAAGAGAACCTGTGTCCATCACCCACAATAACATTCTGTTGGTATTGAACTCCTCACCTGACCCCTGACTCTTAATGGAAAATACATCTGTACCTTCCTATATTCTTGTTCTTATTTGTTTAAAGGGGCTTGTAGATGCATTATGATTAACACAGATATATCCACACAGGATTACAGACAGCAGGGTTTTGCACATCTGATTACCTATTTCATCATACAGAGGTGGGGATGTTTTTTTGGTCCTGCTTGTATAAGGTGATGTCTTTTAAGAGGAAGTGTATTGCTCAGTATTTCACTAATAAACATCAATTTCTTGACTTAAGTCATGCTGGACTTAGGCTGTGTGAAGAAGGCAGAGTCTGGGGCAGCTGGGAAACATTGGTGATGAATAACCAATGAACTCCCTGCCTTGTGAAACTTGAGCTGTAGTAGGAAAACAAGGGGAGGAGGTAGTTAAAAAACAAAAATCTTTCTCAGATCTTTCCTTGTAGCTTGCCAAGGACCTTGTCTTGGAATGTGTTTGAAATACTAACCATTCATCCAAACCAAGCTGTGTGGTGCCAGTTTGCAGAGCATCACTGGATATATTGGGCAGCTGAACTGTTAGGAAATCTCTGTGAAGTTTGCAGGATTCCCAGGCACAGGGGAGCACCAAGCAGAGGCCCAGCTGCCTGTCTGTGACTCCATCCAGCTGCAGCCCTGCAGTGTGTTCCAGCTGATGAATGCCTCTGGCTTGGTAGCACTAAACTTCCCAAACTTGAAGGAGATATTTGTGTTTGGAGAGCACACAGAGATGCCCCAAATGGTGATGAGACCATTAAAGGTCAGACCATTCTCAGAGCCAAATCCTGCCACACTGGCTTCCCAACACTGCTGCAAGAGTGTCACCTTCTCATTGAGTGTAAGGCTGATAACTATGGAAATAAGTGTGCACTCCTGAAATTCAGTTTATTATATGTCCCACAAGGAATTGAGAGGTAAATTAATAAATAAGATGT